ACATGCAGTGAGCAGGGTGGGACCGAGTGCTCCAGGAGAAAAGAACCACCTGGAAGGGGTCGAGGACTGACATCAGCCTGCCCATGAGCCAGCAGGAGGGAGCGAGCGGAGCTGGGCAGCAGCCCCTGCCCCCCACATCATCCCCCAGACTCAACCCAGGGGTTCATCTTAGTTGCAACGCTCTCTCTCTCTGCAGGTGGTAGAGGCTTATAAGCAAGGGCTCAGACCAGCCGTTGGCTATGAGCTCAACCCTTGGCTCCTGTGGCTCTCCCACCAGCTGGGTACCACGGGAAGGTTTCCTTCCTGAAGAAAGATCTGTGGAAGGTAACAGCATCCCGAGGGTCCGGCTGTGCTCAGTGCTGGACGTAGCTAAGGCAGGGCCGGGGCTAACTCCGCGCCTCTGGAGAGGCTTCGCTGATGGTTGTGTGCTCCTTCCCTGACCCACACGGCTCCTGGGAGGTGGAAGAACCATCCTCCTCTCTGGGGAAACACCAGCCTGGGCTGCTGGTCTTGTAGGCAGCAGAGCATCTTCTCAGAGCGGCTTTGAGAAGAGGTCTTGGGTGCTGCGGACACGCGGTGGCCTTCAGAGACGCGCCACTAAAGCTGGCATCGGGTGCCCGTGGCACGACGGGATAAAAGCCAGCAGGGAATGGGGTTCTGGGACGATGCTGGAGGCAGGTGCTTCGTGGGAGAGCGCCGCCAGCCCCCAGCCACACCAACACATCCCCGTCCTACATGTCGTGGGGCATCTCTGCTCCCTGCGAGGTTCTGAAGATGGCCCTGTGCAAAGCATCCGGCCACTCCAGTGGTTCCTCCCCGCTCCCCGGGGCTTCTTTCATTCCCCTTTTCCTTCTCTTTTAAGGTGAATCTTTCCGATTGCTACAACGTGATCGTGTTCCTGGCCCCCAGCGTGGTAAGTTGGTCTCTCGCACCCCGACTTCTGAGCGAGCTCCAGGGAGGTTTTTCTTAGAATAAAAGAGATGATCTGAGACAGTGGCAAAAAGATTCTTTAAAAAATAAGGCCAAGTGGGCTTTGCTGCAAGCGAGCGGTGCCCAGCACCACTGGAATTTATAGGATCATGGAAACGTTTAGGTTGGAAAAGACCCTTAAGATCGAGTCCAACCATTAACATGGCCAAGTCCACCACTAAACCATGTCCATAAGTCCCACGTCTACACGTCTCCAGGCACTGTGACTCCACCGCTTCCCTGGGCAGCCCATTCCCAACGCTTGCCAACCCTTTCAGTGAAGAAGTTTCTCCCAATATCCAGTCTAAACCTCCCCTGGTGCAACTCGAGGCTGTTTCCTCTCGTCCTGTCGCTTGTTAGTTGGCCTTAGTCCCAACCACGCACAGGGCTGGGACCAGCCCCACGTTTTGGAAGGGTCTTGGCTCAATGCTGCCTTCTTGGCACCCACCAGCCGTGCCGAGAAGCCGCTCTTGGTGGCACCTGGTGGTCCTTGGTGGCACCGCCGCTACGTGACTTATTCTACGGCCGCCCGGCATCTCTCTCTCCCCAGAAACCTCCTCTAGCCGCCAAGTTCCTTGCAGAACTCCCCGACGAAGCCCGGGTGGTGGCTGGACGCTTCCCCTTCCCCTCCTGGACCCCCACCAGCACCCTTGGGCAGGGGCTGGAGCAAGTCTGGGCCTATGACATGAAGGAGGTGCGGCGAGCGGCGCAGAGCAGCGCGGCGGGAAGCCCGGTCTAACTGCAGCTCGTTAAGCCCAGCCTTAAGGGTCGGCAGCCCTCGGGCTCAGCTCAGGACAGCAGAGAGATGCTTGGCCAGGCTTTTTGCCCAGGGACTTGCAGGGTGGTGGTTCCTCCAAAGAGCGAGCAGGGGGGGACAAAACCAGACCTAGAAATCCTGGAATTATCGCAGGATTTAAGGGCTAAAGCTCCAGTGCCTCTTTCTGTACGTTTGCTACTTTATTTCTAGTTGATTTTGCCAAATAAACATTCGGATGGTTTTTCCCTTGAGACTTTTGCTTTGCCTTGGAGCCGCAGGGTGCTCCTGGAGCCGGAGCAGCCGCCCCGGCCCCCCCGCCGCTCCTGGCCACAGACCTTGCTCCACCAGCCCTCCACGGCTCAGGAGGGAATTTGTCCAGCTCATCTCCAGCTGAAGGATCACTTTGACCCTGCTTACCTTATATAACATGCCCTTTTCCACTCAAAAATGGAGGGAAAAAAGGGTTTTCCCACCATAAAAGAGCAGCTCATCCCCTTTGTGGAACCTCTTGAACCAGCCCTGGCCGTATCTCTTGGAAGCTGAGAGGGGAAGCGAAGGCAGGAACCGAGTTAGCCCTCAGACTCCGATCTAGGTCTGACCCAGGAGGAACGTTACGGCAGCGTCCTGGGAGGCAGGAAGGGAAAACCATCCCTGCAGCCCCGCAGCAAAAACCCACCTGGGAACCCAACCCTGTGTCCCGAGGCGTGATGTGGTTGGAGACCTGCACAACGAACCCTGCTGCTGAGGAGTCGGAGGATAGATGAGACGTGGTTGTCTCGTCCCGTTTTAGCACTGTTAATTTGAGACCAAGAACACCCACGTGGTTTCCCTCTCCGTGCCTCCCAGCTGGGGAAGGATACTCGCCCTGGCCAGCCCACACACCAGAAAGCTCCTTGCTTTTAAATCCTGCTCTTTCCTATGCTAGTGCTGCTTCTCAGAGCTGTGGTGGTGGTGGCTAACCAACAGTTGGTGGCCAACCTACAGTTGGTGGCTGAGGGTCCTGGCTCCGGGCAACGAGTGAGCATCAGCTGCCCCAGCGCTGAGTGCGCGCAGCGACCTTCCTCAGCCGGAGGATCTCCTGCTTGTACCTGCAACGGGGAAGCAGCACCATCGTTGCCGTGTGGTCACGATCCCACTGATAGCTCCCCCCCGGCAGCGATACACTTCGATGTACTCTCAGGGAAGGAGACGTGCGGCAGGGGGGGG